CTGTGTGCATGAATGTCTGTCTGTGTCATTGGGCAATTTGGTAAGATTGAACCCGGGAAAGTAGCCCACCCTATTTTGGGTGGAAGTGTGGCCTGATCACCCACGGGTGCCACATTGGCACGTTGGAAGGTAGCTATCTGTAACCTTGGAAGCTTATGCTTATGGTTTTGAATTGGAAGGAGAGCAATTGGATTTGTGTCTGTGTGTGTGGATGTGTGTCTGTGTCATAGAGCAATTTGTAAAAATTAGAGACAGCCACATATGGCTGAGTGAAGAAGCCTCTGGGCGTTGTAAAAGGATTGAAGTGAATGTAAATTGGAAAGTGCTCTGTGCTGCGTCTTGCTAGGGGGGAACTGCTGTGAGTGAGCTAACCCTCTCCTAAGTGTGGAAATTTTTTCTTTGAATTGTTAATATGGCTCACTCCCATAGCCATTCCACCCCTGTAGAAACCATGCTGAGAAATTTTAAGAAGGGATTTAGTGGGAATTATAAAGTAACTATGACACCAGAAAAATGAAGGGTTTTTATGTAGGGAAGATTGGCCAGCATTTAGGGTAGGTTGGCCCCCAGAGGGGACCCTAGACAGGCCCCTTGTCTCCAAAGTAAGGCATGAGGTTATATATGGCGAGCAAGAACACCTTGATCAATTTCTATGAATAGACTAGTGTTAGACCCTTCGAAGTGGCTAAGAGAGCTGGCAGTGACTGTTTCAGTAGCCAAGGGATAGACTGCTAGAAACCACCATTCCCCTTGCCGCTGAGAAATGTGGACTCCCAAGTCCAGGCAAATTCAGTGGCAGAAACAGTCAGGATTTGCATGCACTAATATTTCAGTTATTGGAAGTAGCTAACCAGGCATTTGTAAACCAAGAGGCGGCAAGCCAGAGGGAAAATCATAGGGAAAGGAAACATCAGGCTCAATGGAAGGCTGACTTAATAGCTGCTGCTATAAGAGGAATGCCCCCAAAAGCATGGAAAAAGGGGTGTCCCTGGAAAGCCCCACAGTCTGCCCACCTGTGCCTGCAATGCTATCAGTGTGCATTTTGTCAAGAAATAGAACATTGGGAAAAAAATGCCCACAGTTAATGAGAGAACAGGTTGATTCTAAGAACGAGGATCCAGATAAAAAGTGAAGGGGCAATGTTCAATCTAATGGAAGGGCCACTAGACTAAAAGAGAGGGGGGCCAGACTCATATGCCCCCAGAGCCCACAGTCCAGAAAACAGCTGTGTAACCCACCCATGGGAAAAACAACAGAACCAATATTGTTAGAGCTATTGAGGTGTTAAGAGGACAGACTTTCTTGTACTTAAAGGACTGCCCCTACACCCCTTCTCCTTCTCTGGCAAAACTTGTTGTGCAAATCGAGGGCCACTATCCCATTCAAAAAGGAGACTCCCTGCAGCTAAAAATGCCTCAGGTAGGGGTCATCCAGGTTCTCATTGTCCCTTAGGAAGGAGGGTGGAGTCTTCCTAGACAGAAGCAGAAGACTGATATTATCACCCAGGCCCGTGCAGGGCTTGCGTGGCTTTGCACCCAACTCATACACGCAGTTGGGATTATTGCCAGCAGAGGATAGTTGGTTTATTTAATTGGACTTAAAGAATACCTCTTTAGCATTGGACTGGCCTCAGAGGGTCAAAAACTATTTGCATTTCATGGCAGAAACCCAGGAGCAGGTGTAACCACTCAACACACCTGGATCCAGCTTCCCAGGGGCTCCAAAAACTCTCATCATCCTTGGGGAGGCATTCAGCCCATGAGCACCCCCCAGAAGCTTCTTGCTTGAATGCTTCCCCCCGTAGGCTGATAACCTTCTATTGGAACACCCCACGGCAGTCAGGTGTGCAAGCAAATGCCTTACTTCAGCACCTGGAGGACTGTGGGTATAAAGTGTCTAAAAGGAAAGACCAGATTTGCCAAAAAGCAAATGCAATATCTGAGGCTCACCTGGATATTGGAAGGGGGAAAGCAGCCTAGAAGCAGAGAGGAAGCAAGCCGCTTGCAAAGTGACAGAACCTGAGATTAAACAGCAAGCGAGAGAGCTCCTGGGAGTGGCGGGTTTTGTAAATTGTGGATTTCCAAACTTCGCAGTAGTAGCCAAACCCCTCTATGATGTGACAAAGTGGGGAGATAAGGAGCCCTTTGAATGGGGATCCCAGCAGCATCAGGCTTATCAGGAACTAAAAACAAAACTAATGTCAGCTCCAGCTTTGGGGCTGCCTGATTTAACAAAGCCCATCACATTATATGTGGCAGAAAGAGAAAAAGTGGCAGTTGGGGTCCTAGTCCAAACAGTAGGACCTTGGCCCAGGCCTGTAGATTACCTCTCCAAGCAGCTGGATGAAGTTTCCAAAGGATGGTCCCCATGCTTAAGGGCCCTGGCAGCAACTGCTCTGCTAGCACAAGGAGCAGATAAACTATGTCTGGGACATAATATAAATATCAAGGCACCTCACACAGTAGTGACTCTAATGAATACTGGAGGGCACCACTGGTTATCAGATGTTAGGCTGACCAAATACCAGGGCCTGCTATCTGAAAATCCCCGCATTGCCATTGAAGTCTGCAACACCTTAAACCCTGACACTTTGCTCCTAATGTCAGTGGGTCCCGTTGAACACAACTGTTTTAAAGTCCTGGACACAGTCTATTCCAGCAGTCCTGATCTTCGGGATCAGCCATGGACAGTAGTAGACTGGGAGTTGTATGTGGATGGGAGTAGCTTTGTCAGTGCACGAGGGGAGAGATGTGCAGGCTACGCCGTGGTAACTCTGGACACTGTAATCAAGGCTAAATTCCTGCCTCAGGGTACTTCAGCTCAGAAGGTTGAACTCATTGCTTTAACTCAAGCCCTAGAGCTGAGTAAAGATGAGGTTGTAAACATTTACTCTGACTCTCGATATGCCTTCCCGACTGTCCAAGTACATGAAGCACTGTACAAAGAGAGAGGACTGTTGACTTCAGGTGGAAAAGAAATGAAGTATCAGCATGAAGCTTTGCAGCTGCTAGAAGCAGTCTGGAGGCCACTGAGGGTGGCATTGCTGAGGACATCAGTGGGCCCACACTTACGTCACCCTGGGCAATTCCTGAGTGGATTCAGCAGCTCGTAAGGCAGCATCTACCCCCTACTGAACGGCAGTTACAGCCCTGCTGATTCCCCAGATCCCTGATCTAACACCTACTTACTCTAAAAAGGAAAGAGACTTTCTCCAGACAGAAGGGGGGCAACTGATTAAAGAAGGATGGATCCAACTCCCAGATGAAAGAATAGCAGTACCACAGCTGCTGGGGGCAGTAGGTGTACAAGCCGTACATGAGACCACGCATTTAGGTCAAGAGTCACTTGAAAAGATGTTGGGCTGGTACTTTTACATCTCACACTTAGCAGCCTTGACCAAAACTGTGGCACAGTAATGCATTACATGTCAGCAACACAACGCAAGGCAGGGTCCAACTATCCCCCTGGAATTCAAGCTATGGAGCAGCTCCGTTTGAAGATCTCCAGGTAGACTTTATTGAAATGTCCAACTGTGGAGGACATGAGTATTTGTTGGTCCTGGTGTGCACATACTCTGGATGGGACTGAAAGAGCCCATGAAGTCACCTGTGTGCTGCTTTGAGATCTTATCCCCAGGTTTGGACTAGCACTGCACATCGGAGCAGACGGTGGACCAGCATTTGTGGTAGATTTAGTCCGGAAAACAGCAACGGGCTTGGGTATCACCTGGAAACTGCACACAGCCTACCGACCTCAGAGTTCCAGAAAAGTGGGGGGAAAAAAAATAAACCGAACCAGCAAAAACAGCTTAGGGAAAGTGTGTCAGGGAACAAGATTAGAGTGGGTGCAGGCATTTCCCTTGGAATTATTCAAAATTAGAGGCACCCCCTTTAGGAAAAACAGGATATTCCCCTATGAAGTCTTATACCATAGGCCCCCTCTCCTACTTTGGGCACTCCTAGAAACTCCTCGGGAGTGGGGAGAGATTGAGTTAGGATGCTAGTTACCAGCTCTAAGGAGAATTGCTTAGGATACCTCAACCTAAGTAAATAACAAATGTCCTGTAAGCTTTATTCTTCCCAGTTCACCCTTTCTCACTAGGTAATCTTGTGTGGATAAAGGACGGGAGTACAGCCCCTCTAAAGCCACAATGGAAAGGACCTCAGACATGATCCTGACCAATCCCACAGCGGTGAAGGTAGAGGGAATCCCAGCCTGAATCCACCACAGCTGTGTAAAAACCAGTAACAGCTGAGACTTAGACCAAGGCAAGTACTGCAGAATCACCTTAAAAGAACAACAAGCCTTGCTCCAGCCATGTCCCGGAAACTGGCTGGTCCATGCATGGCCGAAGCATGAGGAGATTTATCGTGGGACTTGTTCTTCTTAATATTTGGACTTGCACAGTAGGAACATTAACTAATTTTGAAGAATACCCTCAGTATGTACACCAGGTAGGACGTAAAAGTTACTGCCATTCTTTCGTCCTGCAGTTCTTATAAATATACGGGGACGCAGAAGGGAACCTGTGTATAATGGTACTCAATATAAGGTGTGTGATCCATGAGATGGACAGGTGGCTGTGTCATAGGCATCATTAAGCCCTCTTTCTTCCTATTATCTGTTAAGATATGTGAGCTGTTAAAGCATCCAGTTTACTCTGCTAGGGAGAAGAGACACCTAAAACTAGGGAATTAGACAGAAGATGAGCGGCCACCGGAGATAATTATTGAGTACTATGGGCTGGCCACATGGGCTGAAGATGGCTCATGGGGATACCGGACCCATATTTACATGCTCAACTTGATCATCTGGTTGCAAGCTATTTTGAAAATATTCACCAATGAAATGGGCAAAGCTCTGTCCCTCTTGGTCTGACAAGAAACCCAAATGAGAAATGCAATTTATCAGAATTGGCTGGCCCTAGATTAATTGCTAGCAGCTGAAGGGGGAGTCTGTGGAAAATTCAATCTAACCAACTGCCTTCTGCACATAGATGACCAGAGGCAGGCAGCAGAGGATATTGTGCGAGACAGGACCAAACTGGCACACGTGCCTGTTCAGGTGTGGCACGGATTTATCCCTGAGTCCTTATTTGGAGATTGGTTCTCATCCTTGGAAGGATTCAAAACCCTCATCATAAGTATTCTAATAATAGTAGGTGTTTGTTTGCTGCTCCCTTGTCTACTCCCCCTGTTCCTTCAGATGATTAGGGGGTTCATTACTACTGCAGTTAGCCAAAAAATGACATCATAAGTGTATTATATGAAACATTTTCAGTCGGTTTCTTCAGAAAATCTGAAAAGTGAGCATGAAATTGAGACCTCTCACTAATATTATAAAGTGGTGAGGGTCTCACAGGGGTTGATGAAGAGGGAGACCCAGGCATCTCAGATCAACTTCCCCCTTTTTTCCTAAGACTGTAAACTTCCCCTTTTCATTCCTAAGACTGTAAACTGAAGCCCTTTTCATATGTAATTCCCAAGACTATAAACCAAGATCCTTTTCATATGTAATTCCTAAGACTGTAAACCGAAACCCTTTTCATATGTAATTCCTGAGACTGTAAACCAAGACCCTTTTCATATGTTAAGCTATAAACCTAAGATTCTTCCATGGGTAACATCTAAAGTATAAGCCTAGATAAAGAAGGAACCTTCCTTTGTTAGGTGAGCTTGGCTGTTAGGCAACTATGCCACCTTGCTCCTGGCCGAATAAACTCCTTCCTCCTGTATTCGGTGTCTGAGAGATCCATTTTCCAGAACCACTCCTGCTACATGATGACTAAATTATTTTTCCTGAATTAAAGCACTTTGAAAAGGGTTACACATGGTAAATGTAGTGTAAAAAACTTATAAAACGTATATTTTGTTAATATAAATACCTGATGATTAGCTATAAATTTGTTTTAAAAAGGTTTTTTTTTTTTTTTTTTTTTTTTTTTTTTTACAACAGCTGGGGTTGCAAGAAAAAAAAAGAAAAAAATTTTTTTCTGTTTATCTCTGAATAGAGAAGTAAGATTATACAGGGAAGTGGTCAGGTGAGGTGGCTCATGCATATAATCCCAGCAATTTGGGAGGCCAAGGCAGACAGGTCACCTGAGGTCATGAGTTTGAGACCAGCCTGGCCAACATGGCAAAACCCCATCTCTTCTAAAAATACAAACATCATCCAGGCTTGGTGGCAGGTGCCTGTAATCACAGGTACTTGGGAGGCTGAGGCTGGAGAATCACTTTAGACCAGGAGGTGGAGGTTACATTAAACCAAGATTAGGCCACTAGACTCTAGCCTGGGCAACAAGAACAAAATTCTATCTCAAAAACATTATTATTAATAATGTTTTCAACTGTTATTTGTATACTTATCTCTTCTATTTTGTCAGTGTTCATCAATTTTGATCTTTTTTTTTGTTTGAAACAGTTTCTTTCTTGTTGCCCAGGCTGGAGTGCAATGGTATGATCTCATCTCACTGCAACCTCTACCTCCCGGGTTCAAGAGATTCTCCCACCTTGCCTTAGCCTCCCAAGTAGCTGGAATTACAGGTGCCCACCACCACACCCAGTCGATTTTTGTTTTTTTTAGTAGAGATGGGATTTCTCCATGTTGGCCAAGCTGGTCTCCAACTCCTGAGCTTGTGATCCACCCACCTCATCCTCCCAAAGGGCTGGGATTAGAGGTGTGAGCCATTGCACCCAGCCAGATTATTTGTTACTTGGTATGTAAATGCCTTTTTGATGTAATGTCTGTTTTGTCTGATGACCACCACTCTCTTTTGGCTTCTGTTTCCATTGAATACCTTTTTCACTTACTCACTTTCACAATGTTTGTGTTTATGGATTCAAGGTGAATTTCCTTTAGACCATATACATGAGAATCATTTTAGATTTAATTCTGCCAATCTGCCTTTGAATAGAGAATTTAAGCCATTTACATTTAAAATAATAAATTAGAGGGGATTTACTTTTGTTATTTAACTATTTGTTTTCTAAAGGATGTATAGCATTTTTGTTTCTCATCATTTCCGAGCATAGCTGATGCTAAGATAAAAGCTAAAATTGACTGACATTAATGGCAATTTATCCTCCAAGACTTCCCCTGGAATGTGCAAGCCTTAAAAGGACTGCAGAGGCCAGGTGCAGAGGCTCATGCCTGTAATCCCAGCACTTTAGGAGGCCGAAGCTGGAGGATCACAAGGTCAGGTGTTCAAGACCAGTCAGGTCAATATGGTGAAATCATGTTTCTACTGAAAATACAAACAAAAATTAGCCGGGTGTGGTGGTGCATGCCTGTAGGCAGGAAAATTGCTTGAACCTGTTAAGTGAAGGTAGGAATGAGCTGAGATAGCACCACTGCACTCAATTTGGGTGACAGAAGGAGACTGTGTCTCAGAAAAAAAAAATAAAAATACTCCAGAGTTCCAAAACTCCAAATACTCCAGTTTTGTCAGTGAGATTTTCTTAGGGCAATTGATGGCTAAGTAGGGAAAAAAGGTTCCTGGTTTTCCTACTTCTCTATCTTCCGAGAATTCTTCCCTGTTGCTTATTTCAATGTGTTCTTTCCTTCTATTAAGCTGTATTTATAAGTTTTTAGAGTGAAACCCCATCTTTACTAAAAATACAAAAATTAGCCAGGCATGGTGACAGGCACCAAATATGTGTGTCACCCCAAAATTAATATCTTTTTGAAAATTCATGTTTAAGCCCTAATTCTTAGGGCTTACATTCTTACATTCAAAAAATTTTTTTTAATTCAATATTTTCTTAAATTCAAATTTTCTTTACATTCTTGAGACGGAATTTCGCTCTTGTTACCCAGGCTGGAGTGCAATGGTGCGATCTCGGCTCACCGCAACCTCCTCCTCCTGGGTTCAGGCAATTCTCCTGCCTCAGCCTCCTGAGTAGCTGGGATTACTGGCATGCGCCACCATGCCCAGCTAACTTTTTGTATTTTTAGTAGAGACGGGGTTTCACCGTGTTGACCAGGATGGTCTCGATTTCTTGACCTCGTGATCCACCTGTCTCCGCCTCCCAATGTTCGGGGATTACAGGCTTGAGCCACCGCGCCCGGCCCATACTATTTCTTGGTCTGTTTTTTGTGCCATCAGTCATAATCTCTTTTCTTTCTTTATTTAGTTTTAGGTTTTTGTTGTTCCTTTCTTTTTGATTGTTTGGTTTTTGTTTTGAGATGGAGTCTCACTCTGTTGCCCAGGCTGGTACCATGTCTGCTCACTGCAACCTCCACCACCTGAGTTCAACTAATTCTCCTGCTCAGCCTCCCAAGTAGCTGGTAGCTAAGATTATAGGAATGCACCACCACACCCCGGCTTTTCTTTTCTTTCTTCTCTTTCCTTTAATTTTTTCAATTTTATTTTCAGTAGAGACTGGGTTTTGCCACGTTGGTCAGGCTGGTCTCAAACTCCTGGACTCAAGTGATCTGCCCGCCTCAGCCTCCCAAAATGCTGGGAGTACAGGTGTGAGCCACCGCGCCCAGCCTCTTCTTTTATTTCTGAATTTATTTATTTGCATCCTCTCTTTTCTTCGTTAGTCTAGCTGAGAGTTTGCCAACTTTATCTTTTCAGAAAACCTACTCTTAGTTACTCTTTTTCTCTTGCCTTTCTATTTGCTATTTTGTCATTTCTCCTATAAACTTTATTATTGTCTCTCCCTTCTGCTAACTTTGAGCTTACTGCTTTTCTTTTCTAGTCCCGTAAGGAATAAAGTTATGTTGTTTATGTAAGGTCTTTGTTGTGGTTTTTGCTGTAGGTGTTATCGTTGTAAACATCCCTCTTACAATGCAGGCTTCTGTGCAGGGAGTAATCCCCAGACTTCGCCTCCGTGAGCCGCTGTAAGGGAGCTTCTTTGCAAGGGCGACTCTCTCCAGGAGGCTTGGGGTCTGGGGGCTGCATTCCTGTTTTCCAGGAGACTCTGAAGACCCCACTCAGAGACCATGAGAAGGCGCCCTCCCAGGTTTCCCAATCCCAGCTCGAGTCCATCCGCGCTCCCCCGCGCCCGGGCTCACTAGCCGCTGTGTTCTGGCGAGGCTCTGCTCCAGGTGGGGAGCGGCCCTCCTGTCCGCGGGGCGGGGACTCTGCTCAGGGACTGAGGGCTCCTGGGGATGATCGCCACTCCCTTCTCTGAGAGCGGACGCATTTTTTCTTTCATTTCCGAAGTCGCCACATATCCAATGTCCCAATCCCCACCTAGCCTGAGGCTTTCAAATCTTGTAGAGGATTTCCTTTTCAGCTGCCACCCAGGAAATAAGAGCTGCTGAATCTTGACCTTCAGCTCTGATCTTTGCCAAGATCTTGTTAATAAATCCATCACCCCCTGAAAGTTCGTTCCTGTAGTCATCCACTCAACCAATCAGAAGCGCTCACTTAATAAATGAGTCATTAGATCCTGGATCGCAGAGAAAACAGCCACAGCATGTAAACCCGGGCATCTGGCAGACCAAGGCAAAGAGGCAGAAATAAAGCAACGCAGCCTGCGCCCTGCTTCAGTGTGGAAGGGGTCCAGGTGGAAGCGCTCCATTCAGGTAAGAGGATTAGGCTGTCGTGGTTTTGTTTTGTTTTTGTTTTTTGGAGAAGGATTTTCACTTTGTCGCTTAGGCTGGAACTCATTGGCCAGATCTCGGCTCACCGCAACCTCTGCCTCCTGGGTTCAAGTGATTCTCCTGCCTCAGCTTCCCGTGTAGCTGAGATTACAGGCTCACACCACCACGGCCAGCTATTTTTTGTATGTTTAGTGCAGATGGGGTTTCACACCATGTTGCCCAGGCTGGTCTTAAACTCCTGACTTCAGGTGTTCCACCTGCTTTGGTTTTTCAAAGTGCTGGGATTTCAGGCATGAGACACAGCGCCTGGCCCTAGGCTTTTTTTTTTTTTTTTTTTTTAAAGACGTGGTTTCACCGTTTGGTCAGGCAGATCTTGAACTCCTGACCTCAGGTGATCCGCCCGCCTTGGCCTCCAAAGTGCTTGAATTACAGGCGTGAGCCACCACGCCCGCCTGGCTTTTCTTTTATTCAGAAATGCAGATACCTCCGTCCAGAACTGAGCCACTGAATAGTGTGTAGCACCATCTGCTGGAAAGCTTCTGAAAAACCAAAATGACATGCTTAGAAATCTTTACGTTGAACGGGGCGCGGTGGCTCATGCCTGTAATCCCAGCACGTTGGGAGGAAGAGGCGGGTGGATCACGAGGTCAGGAGTTCAAGTCTATCCTGACCAACATCGTGAAATCCTGTCTTTATAAAATAAAATAAAATAGCCAAGTGTGGTGGCAGATGCTTATAGTCCCAGCTACTCAGGAGGCTGAGGCATAGGAGGCAGAGGTTGCAATGAGCCCATCACACCATTGCACTCGACACTTGCCAACAGAGCAAGACTGCGTAAAAAAAAGAAAGAAAGAAAGAAGAAAAAAAGCATAAGAAAAGAAGGAAAGAAATTCTTACGTTGATCAAAAATAAAATAGTGACATCCAGTCTAGCCACTTCTAGTCCCCACGTGTGAAGATCACAGAGCTGTGGTGTTCCCAGCTGTTGGTATGGCCTGGAAGTGTTCTGTGCACATAAGGACATATGTGTATGTCCAGTCCCCCTTTTAAACTGCAAATTAGATCACAACCATAGTTCTAGTAACTCACATTCTCCCTCCTCCTCATGTTCATTTAAAAGGTGGTTTTAGAAATCTTCCTTTGTCAGCACAAATATTTCACTTTTTGTGGTCGGTTTTGAGACTAAATAGAAAATACCATAAGGGGCCAGGCACAGTGGCTCATGCCTGTAATTCTAACACTTTGAAAGGCTGAGGCAGATGGATCACTTGAAGTCAGGAGTTTGAGACCAGCATCTTTTACATGGTGAAACTCTGTCTCTACTAAAAATACAAAAATTAGCTGGTGTGGTGGTGAGCGCCTGTAATCCCAGCTACTCAGGAGGCTGATGCATGAGAATTACTTGAACTCAGGAGGTGGAGTTTGCAGTGAGTCAAGATCATGCCACTGCACTCAGCCTGGACGACAGAGCAGAAGTGTCTCAAAAAAAAAAAAAAAAAAAAAAAGGACCTTGTAAAAAGGAAGGCTTAGAGTGACAAGTGACAGCTCACCCAGGCCCACAGGGTTGCAACGTCACATCTCTGTGATGCCACAACATCCTATCTCTTTCAAATATTCCCCTCAAAAATCCTCATCGAAGAAGAAATTATGATCTATAATATTTCCAAGAAAGCTATATTTGTCAAATTGAAAAATTAGAAACAAGCCATCTACAAGGAAAACAGGCTTAGCTTGAGCTGAGCTGTGTGATCTCAGCTTTATTATTTGCTAGTTGGATGTCTTAGAAGTTACTTGATTTCTATTAATATGAGTCTATTTTCTCTTTTGCAAAATTATCATAACAAAAAAGTCACAGTGTTTAACTCACTATTAAAAGTAAATGAGGACATACCATAAAGGCTCAGAGAAAACACTGTGTAGCCAATGCATCTCATGAAGCTCTTAAAAACAGTCATACAGGCCAGGTGCGGTGGCTCATGCCTGTAATCCCAGCACTTTGGGAGGTTGAGGGTGGATCAAAAGGTCAGGAGTTTGAGACCAGCCGGTCCAATATGGTGAAACCCCGTCTCTACTAAAAAATACAGCCGATATGGTATTGGGAACGGGTAGCCTCAGCTACTTGGGAGGCTGTGGGAGGCAGAGGTTGTAGTGAGCTGAGATCATGCCATTACACTTTAACCTGGATGAGAGAGCAAGACTCTACCCCCCCACCAAAAAAAAAGAAGGAAAGAAATAGGAGGTTATTAAATCTCAAAATCCAACCCTGACCTCAAACTGTTATATTGGGGGTCAGGGGTGCCCTCAGTTCCCCTGAGAGGATGTTTCTCTAGGTTCTTGGTCTATCTTCCTTTAGAATGAGAGAGGAGACCACGGCACAGTGCACTCATAAAAGTAAATGCCGGATTCAAAAGTGATTGTAGTAAATGATTTTATTTAAAGCAAAGAGAGAAAAAGGAGAAGGAGAGAGAAAGAAACAGCTAAGACTCACACGAAGTGAGAGGAAGCAAAGCTTCTCTCACACTGAGTGAGAAGGGTTCCCAGGGGGAGAAAACCAGAGAAGGAAAGATCCTCTCACAGCGAGTGAGAGAATCCAGGAGGATGGAATCCAGGGGAGGAAAGACAGCTTCCACACTGAGTGGAAGGGAATGGAGAGGGAGAGATGGAGATTAGGAGAGGAAAAGCAGCTTCCACGACAGCGTGTTCGTGGAAGGGGACCCAAACATGGAGTCCAAAGGGGTGTGGAAGAAGGGGACTTTTAACCTGGGAGGAACCCCACCTTCTCTAAGACCCCTGGCCAATGAAAGGAGTTCCCTAGAACTTCCACTGCAGTGATTGACTTGTAGTTTCTTCACACGCCCGCAAAATTTAAACACAAACTGTACACCCAGATGAAGATGGATGCGAGGGGGAGAAAATATGGCACTGGGAAGTTCTTGCCCTTAAAACTACGCCCCCTTGTGGACCCTGGAAAAAGAACACATTCCCTCAAAACTACAGACATCTACATCTACAATGCTTATTTTATGTTCCGTTCTAGTTTCTCTCTCTCTGTCTTTCTTGAAACAGAATCTTATTCTGTCACCCAGGCTGGGTGCCGTGGCGTGATCATAGCTCACTATAGCCTCTAAGTTTTGTGCTCAAGTTATCCTCCTGCCTCAGCATTCCAAGTATCTGAAACTAAAGGTCTGTGCCACCATGTTTGGCTAATTTTAAGATTTTTTGTAGAGACAGGGTCTAACTTTGTTGCCAGGCTGATCTTGACCTTCTGGGCTGAAGCAATCCTCCTACCTTGGCCTCCCAAAATGCTGGGATTACAGGCATGAGCCTGTGTGTGTGGCCCCAATTATTAAATAAAAGACACCTCTCTTGGGCATGGGAAAGCTCCCTACACATCAAGGACTTTGATCCAGCAATTATACTCCCTTGTTCCACCAGAATGTTCAATATGTCAATGCTGACCTATTGCATCATAAATAAAAGATGAAAGAGAGAAAGACAGAAGCAGAGAAAGAAAGAAGAAATAAAAAAGAAAAAATGGAAAGAAAGAGTAAAAAGAGAAGGGAAGAATAAAAGAGAAAAGGGAAACAGGAAAGATGGAAAGAAGGAAGGAAGGAAAGAGAAATAAAGAAAGGGAAAAAAGAGGGAAAGAGAAAGGAGAGAAGAAAGAAAAAAGAGGGAGAGAAATAAGAAAAATAAAAAAAGAAAAGAGGGAGGAAGAGAAGACAAGAAAGACGAGTTCCAGGTTTGACCCCACAGTGCTCTCTAGTGACCAGCCCGTGCTCTCTTCATCTCTTCACAGACACATCTTTTGAAAAGGCAGCATTTTATTTTTCCTCCCATCTATTTTCAACACATGGCTCCCCTTTTCATTCTGGGGAAGGTTCATCATGATTTTCTTCTTCTGAATCCAGTGAACATATTTCAGTCCTCATCTCAGTTCTTTCGCTGTAGATCAAATGGAACACAAAACAATAATAATTTCACAAACAACACGTTACAACATGTACCTTTCTAGTCCCATCTGTTATCTCACTCTTTCCTCCTTGCCTGTCCCAGAGGGGATAAAAGTGAAGTCTGTGTTTGGACCAACCGGATTCAAGCTCTGGCCACACAGCTCACTCTCTGGTGATCATTGGTGAGTCATTTATTCTCTCTAAGCTTCCCTCCACTGCCAGATCTGTCAGATGAAACTTGTTACGGCACTTACCCTATCGTCACAATACTGTGCACATAGTAAGTGCTAAATAAATAGTAGTTAGCCTCATTATTACTTTAAAAGCAGTCCATTCTTTGCCTCTTAACTGTTCTTCAAGCTACCCTTTTACCTCAAATGTATATCTTTTCACTTCTTTGCTCAGTATCATTCATCCTTTAGGAAACTTTTCCTAATTTTAAAGGCCCTATCAATTATAATAGATAGATATGCCCACTTTTGCTCTCAGATCACTATTTACATACTTCTGTTGAAGTCCTTAACTCCAGGCATTAGAATGTGTTAACTGTCTGTAGTTCTCCCCTCTTCCCTCTGCATGCTGTAAATTCCCTGAAGCCTGAGAGTGGGTCTTATTCATCTTTGTATCTTCCATCAAACAAAGTGTCTGCAATACAGCAGGTACTTAGGCTTTTTTTTTTTTTTTTGATACAAAGTCTTGCTCTGTTGCCCAGGCTGGAGTGCAGTGGTGCAGTCTTGGCTCACTGCAACCTCTGCCTTTTGGACTCAAGCAATTCTCCTGCCTCACCCTCCCGAGTAACTGGTATTAGAGGTGTGGGCCATGTCACCCAGCTAATTCCTGTATTTTTAGTAGAGACACGGTTTCACTATGTCAGACAGGCTGATTTCGAACTCATGACTTCAAGTGATCTGCCTGCCTCACCTCCCAAACTGCTGTGATCACAGGCATGAGCCATCATGCCCAGTCTCATAAATGCTGCTAAAAGAAATGAAATGGGATGGCAGCAGGGGCTCACACCTGTAATCCTGGCTATTTGGGAGGATGAAACAGGAGGATTTCCTGAGGTTAGGAGTTTGAGACCAGCCTGACAGACATGGTGAAACCCCATCTCTACTAAAAATACAAAAATTAGCTGGGTGTGGTGGTAGACACCTGTAACCCCAGCTTCATGGGAATCTGAGGCAGGAGAATCACTTGAACCCAGGAGGCAGAGGTTGCAGTGAGTTGACATCACACCACTGCACTTCAGCCTGTGTGACAGAGCAAAACCCTGTCTCTTTAAAAAGAAAAAGATGAAATGAAGCTTTTACTTATCTTTTAATTTAAGATAATAAATTTAAGCCTTGTTCTCACTAGACACAAACATGCATTTTCAGATTTATTTTCTAATATTTCTAGAATGGAACTCTGATTTTCTATCTCTGTGGTGGAGGTATTTCCTCTTCTAGGAATTCCCTGTCTCATCAATCCAAACTCTCTCCCACCCTGAGAGTCATTGTAAAGCTCATTTTCCTCATGAGGCCCACCCTATTCAGTTAGTTTACAATAATCGTCATCCTGATAACAATCACAGCCATTTTATTAGCAGGCTTTTAAAGCCATTTGTCACTTTCTACTTTATTTCCTTAGATTTTTATCAGTATTAAACTGCGAGTTCAGTGAAGACAAGGTTTAGGCCCTAAAGCTTAATGTACAAGCCTTTGCTTAATGTTAATGGCCCAAGAACTGCCTTAAATATGGGCATTCCTGTGTGGACTGAAATATCTGCAGGACATATTGCATAAAACTAAATGAAATACAGAAAATTACTGTTTTCTAAATTAATCACAGTCCAGTGTCCAAAGGTCATGCTTGGAAGACAAATTTAATGCCCCTAATTTAATTATTAAATAAAACTTTTCCGTAAAGATAAGATGCATTCTGGCCACAGTGGCTCACTCTTGTAAACCCAGCACTTTGGGAGACTGAGGTGAGAGCATCACTTAAGAACAGGAGTTTGAGACCAGCCAGGGCAACATTTATTTAAAAATGTTTATTAAAAAAATACGTTAGCTGGCATGGTGATGCATACCTGTAGTTCCAGCTGCTCAGGAGGCTGAGGTGGGAGGATTGCTTGAGCCCAGGGGGTGGAGGCTGCAGTGAGCTGTGATCACACCACTGCACTCCAGCCAGAGGGACAGAGTGAAACTCCATCTAAAAAAATATAAGAAAAAGATTATAATGCCTTAATAATAAATATATTTATTTATATATCAAATACATAAATGTGATGTTTATATAATAAAAAGGTATTATAATAATTGGATATTTTCATAGATGTATACAATGTTCTAAAGTTTCAACATTTTCTTTCTTTTTTTTCTTTGAGGCAGAGTTTCTCTCTTGTTGCCCAGGTTAGAGTGCAGTGCAGTGGCACAATCTCAGCTCACTGCAACCTCCATCTTCTGGGTTCAAGTGATTCTCTTGCCTCAGCCTCCCGAGTAGCTGGGAGTATAGGCTATGCCACCACACCTACATAATATTTTTGTATTTTTAGTAGAGATGGGGTTTCATTTGTTGGCCAGGCAGGTCTCAAACTCCTGTCCTCTGGTGATCCACCCACCTGGGCCTCCTAACGTGCTGTGATTTCAGGTGTGAACCACTACGCCTGGCCAGCTGTCTTCATTTTAAAAACACATTTCTTCTTACAAAATATGTAACAATTCTTTCTATAGATAGCTAAACTAGCTGTTCTCTACCATGATGTTCAGGAATCTAAAATGTATTTTTAGCATGAATCCCATCTAATCCATTTCCCCACCTTACCCACCCCCATCTTCCTCTTCCTTCTTGATATTATGGAAGGCATGGCCATTCCTTCATATGTGCTGTGGGTCCCCTTCTCTCCCTAAGGTTTCTGAGGAATTACAAGCTGCCACTTATACCTTCACTTTATCTTCCCTCTCTGGATCATCTTATTTACCTAGAGGTTTAGATGGTGATAAGCCTATATACTAAAACAAACAATACACACACATACATCCACGTATCCCTCAGTCAATGGTCTCATGACTTTTCTGCACTTACTGTCCTCAATCCATTATTTTGCATTCACATCTAAATCCACTTTAATCTGTCTTCACATCTAAATCCACTTTAATCTGTCTTACACCTCTTTTAGAATAATCCTACTTTCTAATTTTTTTTTTTAAGATGGAGTTTTGCTCTTGTCACCCAGGCCGGCATGCAGTGGTGCCATCTTGGCTCACTGCGACCTCCACCTCCCAGGTTCAAGAGATTCTCCTGCCTCAGCCTCCGAGTAGTTGGAATTACAGGCATGTGCCACCACGCCCAGGTAATTTTTGTACTTTTAATAGAGACAGGGTTTCACCATGTTGGCCAAGATGGTCTCCAATGCCTGACCTCAGGTTATCCATCTGGCTTTGCCTCCCACAGTACTGGAATTGCAGGCCTGAGCAACTGTGCCTGGTCTGATCTGTCTAAACAATTGACAAATTTTCATTTTCTCCCTGATTTCACAATAGAACTTAGCAACTGGGTACTCAGCCAGTTAGAGTTCTTCCTTCAATTCCAGGGCACCATACTTACTTATTTCCACTAAATTCTCACCTAATCCTCTGCTTCCCAGGCAGGCTGTTCTACCTTGCAAGGTATAATAAAATGTATCTCCACTCTCTCCTGCTCTGTTACATCCTATTCTGTAGCCCCAATTACCTCATTACACTTAATTATCATACTCCTGAGACAAAAGAAAAAGAAGATGACCACTCAAATGAGATCAAGCCAGGGCTATTTATTCAGAGTGTACATAGCAAGGGAGTCAGCCAGCATCACTTGAGTTTGGCAGAGGACCAAGACATGTGGAGAAGGAGGAACGCTTCATTGTGAGAAAAAGGGAAGGCTTTCGGTATGATGTGACTAAGGAGATCATTGGCATGGGAAAGCTGAAGCCAGGCTATCTAGAAGTAGGATATCCCCATTTAATTTGCGGAACATATGTGGTTTTCTCCAGTTAGTCCTAAGTTAGAATCCAGGGAGGAGGGATGAAAAGGAAGCTGGTGGTTATTGACGGAATCTTGACCATCTGGGACCAGCTGCTGCAGAGGTTGTGATTTGGCTTCCTGGGCTGGTTGCTGCAGATTGTGGGTCAAAGCATTAATACAGGATCTGGCCACTGTACACTTGTACATGTTCAGTCTCCCAGTTCCCAATTTGTCACCAGTTCATGTCACACGAGCTCAACTACTGTTTATCTTGCAGCAAACTCCTCACATTTTCTTCTGCTTCTTTTTTTTCCATCTTCATATTATGGCTTCCATACTGCTTCAGGTCCTTCAGTAATTGCTCATTACTCCTACAATTGAAATAAAATTCTGACTGTAAACCGCAAAAGTGCTTCTTTGTGAGTTTGTCAAATATGTATGTTCCTTACCACTACGTTATTTTCTCTCCCTAGACATGCTTTTTTTCCTACTCTTCACCTTTTTCTTACACAATCAAAATGTTGATTGAGTGTCACTTCACTTGAGTGTTTGTATGTGTGTGTATACCATATCTAACTTCTTTTTTATTTTTTTTGAGACAGAGTTTCCATCTTGTTTCCCAGGCTTGAGTGCAATGTCACAATCTCAGCTCACTGGAAGCTCCACCTCCTGAGTGATTCTCCAGTCTCAGTCTGCAGAGTAGCTGTGATTACAGGCATTTACTGCCATGTCTGCCTAATTTTGTGTTTTTAGTAGACACAGGATTTCACCATTTTTATCAGGCTGGTCTTGAACTCCTGATCTTAGGTGATAATCCATCAGCCTCAGACTCCCAAAGTGCTGGGATAGCAGGCATGAGCCACTGCACTCAGCCAGAGTTTTGCTCTTATCACCCAGGCTGGAATGCAATGACACAATCTTGGCTCAGTGTAACATCTGCCTCCTGGGTTCAAGTGATTCTCTTGCCTCACTCTCCCAATAACTTTTTTTATTACACTGGCCAAAATAACCTTGCTGGGGTGGGATGGGAATGGGGGTGAGGGTGGGGGATATGGAGGGATTGAAGTTCTCTAGGTATCACATTTCACTTATATCAAAATTGTGCTGGAATTTAGTTAATTTTTTTACTTAGTCTTCATGGTTTTTTCTAATGGCAACATTTTTATATACACAAAAATTATATGTGTACAAATATGACATATATACACATTATTTAAACATATATGAAATCCATTTACTGCTTTATCTTTTATTTAGATGTATTTATTTGTACATATGGAGACGGTGAGTTAGTTGTATTTTTATTCTGCTTTAAGCTCCAGGATACACATGTAGAACACACAAGTTTGTTACATAAATGTGCCATGGTGGTTTGCTACACCTATCAACATGTCACCTGGGTATTAAGTGTCAGGAGTTTTGAATGACACTAGTCCAGTCGGCCCTCCATATCCATGGGGTTTTCATTAATTCAGCCAATGGAAGATTGCAAATATTTGGGGGAGAAACAATGGTAGTATCTGTACTGAACATGTTCAAGCTTTTTCTTTGTCATTATTCCCTAAACAATACAGTATAACAACCATTTACATATTGTTTATATTGCATTAGCTATTATAAGAATTCTGGAAACAGTGTAAAGTATACGGAAGTCTGGGTGTAATTTATATGCAAATACTACACCATTTTGTATAAGGGACTTCAACATCCATGAATTTTTTTATCCACGGAAAGTCCTAGAACCAGTTCCCATGGATACTGAGGGATGAGTGCATTTTACTGTATGGATAGCTTTAATTTGTTTACCTTGACTTTATTGATCAATATTTATGTTTTGTAGTATTTATGCTATTTTGAACAATGTTGCAGTGAAAAGGCATGAATACATATTCGAACATACACTCACTTATTTTCTTACAAAACTTTCCTAGAATTAGAATTGTGAGAACATGCATATTTAATTTTCTCCAGATATCATTTATACACCAGAAAATTTACCCATTTAAGGTGTACAATTTAATGGCTATTTCTATACTCCTAAGTCGTGCAACCATCACCATGATTAATTTTAGAACATTTCATCATCCCGTAAAGAAACCCCACACTCATTAGCAGGCACTTCCCATTTCTCCTCAGCTCTCCAGTGCCAGACAACCACTGACCTACTTTCTGTCCCTATAGATTTCCCTATTCTGGATATTCCGTATAAATGAAATCCTGTGATATGTGGTCTTTAGGATTAGCTTCTTTGACTTAATGTTTTCAGGGCCCATCCATGTAGTAGCATGCATCAGTACTCCACACCAATTCATGGCTGAATACAAATCCATGGTGTGGAAAAACCACATTTTGTTTTTCCAGTCATCTATTGATGAGTATTTGGGTCATTTCCACTCTTTGGCAAATATGAATAATTCTGTTGTAAATATTAGTGTATAAGTTTTTGTTGGAACATATGTTTTCAATTCTCTGGGAATATAAGCAAAGAATTGTTGGGTCATATGAGGAACTGCCAAGGTGTTTACCACAGAAGCAGCATCATTTCACATTCTCACCAGCCGTAGATATGGGCTCTAATTTCTCCACATACTTGCCAACACTTGTTATTGTAGCTATCCCAGAGGCTGTGAAGGACAACTTATTGTGGTTTTAATTTGCATTTCCATAATGACTAAAAACGCTCAGCATCTTTTCATGTGCTTACGAAATATATGTGTCTCTTTGGAGAAATGACTATTCAAATTCTTTGCCCATTTTTCAGTTGGAATATTTGTCTGTATATTGTGTATTCTGAATACAAGGCCCTTATCTGAAATGTAATGTGCAAATATTTTCCTCCATTCTGTGGATGTCTTTTCCTGATGTTGTCCTTGGCACGAAAAAATATTTTTAATTTTACTGGAGTCAAATTAGGCTATGTTTTCTTGGGTAGCTTGTTTTTTAGGTATTATATATTTTTTCAAAAAAAAAATTAGTTGAAGATCACAAAGATTTACATCTACTTCTCTCTTTCTTTCTTTCTTCTTTTTTTTTTGAGATGGAGTCTCACTCTGTCACCCAGGCTGGAGAGCAATGCTGTGGTCTCAACTCACTGCAACCTCCGCCTCCCAGGTTCAAGTAATTCTCCCACCTCAACCTCCCAAGTAGCTGACACTATATAGGTGTGTGCCCACACCCGGCTAATTTGTGTATTTTTAGTAGACATAGGATTTCATCATGTTGGCTAGGCTGGTCTCGAACTCCTGACCTCGTGATCCATTCACTTCTGCCTTCCAAAGTGCTGGGATTACAGGCTTGAGACACCGCGCCTGGCTGTTTATAGTATTTTCTTATAATTATTATTTTTTTCTGTAAGGTTAATAGCGATGTCCTTTCTTTCATTTCAGAATAGTAGTTTGAGTCTTTTCTCTTTTATTCTTGGTCAGCCTAAATAAAGTTTATCAATGTTGTTGCTATTTCCAAAGAGACAACTTTGGTTTTGTTGATTTTTGCTATGGATTTTCCACTCTCCAGATCATTCGTTTCTGCTGTAATCATTATTATTTCCTTGCTTTTGCTTGATTTAGGTTTTGTTTCTTCTTATATTTTTAGTGTCTTAAGTGAAACGTTAGGTATTCAATCGGGATCTTTCTTCTCTTTTACTGTAGACGTTGATAGGTATAACTTTCTCCCTAAGTCCTACTTTAGCTGTATTCCCTAAGTATTCACTGTCAATTATCTCCAAGTGCTCTCTTTTTCCCTTGTGAGTCTTTTAGGAGTTCTTTAGAAGTGTGTTGTTAATTTCCACATATTCAAGAAGTTCTCAAATTTCTTTTGTTATTGATTTCTAATTTGACTCCATTGTTGAATCATCTATTTCTCCTTTCAATTCTGCCAGATTTTGCCTCACATATTTTAGGCCTCTGTTTTTTGGTATATATATCTTCATAATTGTTCTGTCTTCCTCAACTGACCCTTTTAGTATTATAAATGTCCTTCTATGACTCTAGTAACAATTTTTGTGTTAATTTTTAAAATTCTGACATTATTAGTATACCCACTTCAGCTTTCCCACAGTTGCTGCATGCATAATGTCTTTTTCCATTTTTTGACTTCCAATCTATTTTTGTCCTTGAATCAGAAATATGCCTTTACAAAGAATATATGATTAGATCATGTTTGTTTGTTTTTGTTTTATCTGGTCTGAGAGTATCTGCCTTTTGAATGGATTATTTCATAAGTTCATGTTTAATATTATTATTTACATGGTTGAACTTATGTATGCAATTTTTCTTCTTCTTTTCTATATGTCTCCTGTCTTTTTTTGTTCCTCTCTTTCTCTTCTGCTTTCTTTGCCTTAAATCAATATTTTCTTGGGTCTATTTTTTGTTTGGTCACCAAAAAAAAAAAAAAAAAAAAAAGGAAGAAAGATAAAGAATAGTTTGCTGTGTAATACTTTAATTTATTTAACAATTTTTTAGCTGGGAATGGTGGTTCATGCCTGTAATCTCAGAACTTTGAGAGGCTGGAGCAGGTGAAACACTGCAGATCAGAAGTTTGAGACTAGTCTGGCCAATGTGGCAAAACCCCATCTCTAATAAAAATACAAAAAATTAGCTGGGTGTTATGGAGCACACCTGTAATCAAAGCTACTCAGGAGGCTGAGGCAGGGGAATAGCTTGAAGCCAGGATGCAGAGGTTGTGGTGAGCCAAGATCATGCCACTACACTCCAGCCTGGGTGACAAATATGTATATATTGCAAGTTTAATAAGCAAAAAACTTCATCTCATTTTCATTTATTCATTTCTTTTTACACAACACACATACACACATATATATTTTTTCTTTTCTTTTCTTTCTTTTTTTTTGAGACAGAGTCTTGCTGTGTCACCCAGGCTGGAGTGCAGTGGCATGATCTGGGGTTACGGCAACCTCTTTCTCCCGGGTTTGAGAAATTCTCATGCCTCAGCCTCCTGAGTAGCTGGGAATACAGGTGTGCACCACCATGCCAGGCTAAATTTTGTATTTTTGTTAAAAATGGGGTTTCACCGTGTTGGCCAGGCTGGTCTCAAACTCCTGGGCTCAAGCAATCCACCAGCCTTAGCCTCCCAAAGTGCTGGGATTACTGACATAAGCCACCATGCCCAGGCATACATAAATGTTTTTTCATGATGAGTTTTTGCCATGTTTTCTAGGCTGGTCTTACTTAAACTTCTGTGCTGAAGCCTTCCTCTCATTTCAGCCTTCCCAGTAGGTGCGAGTCATCATGCCCGGTCCCATTTCATTTTTATGCTCCAATTTAAGCAGTCTGAGTTGAGAGAGATAATTCCAGAAAAGGCATCTGTGTATTTGTATTGCTAAATTAATCATAGTTAACACCTCACCATGACTGTCAGATGTGCAGCGAAAGGGAGGTGGAAGCTTCCAGAAATGAAGCAAGAAGATGCCTTCATGTCTTCAGGAGGAGGCCAAAAAACTACCTAGGGAATTAGTGACACTAATAATTCTCCTCCCATAAAAGATCATTTTTTACTCTTATTTATTTTTATTAAAAAACAAATTCTCTTTAGAGACGAGGTCCTACTGTATGTTGCTGTTGCCCAGGCTGGTCTCAAAATCCTAGGCTAAAGTGATCCTCCTGCTGTGTCCTTCCAAAGTGCTGGGATTGCAGGAGTGAGCCACCACATTTGGAAGCCTTTTACTGTTTTTTATTTTTTGAGACGGAGTCTTGCTCTGTCACCTAGGCTGGAGTGCAGTGGCATGATCTCGGCTCACTGCAACCTCTGCCTCTCAAGATCAAGCAATCCTCATGTCTCAGCCTCCCAAATAGCTGAGCTTACAGGCATGTACCACTGCGCTCAGCTAATTTTTGCATTTTTAGCCGAGACATGGTTTCATTTTGTTGATCAGGCTGGTCTCAAACTCTGACCTCAGGTGATCCACCTGACTTGGCCTCCCAAAGTGCTGGGATTACAGGCATAAACCACCATGCCTGGCCTGCCTTTTACTCTTAAATGAAAATTAGATAATTATATTTGCCACTAATATATGTTTAAAACTTTTTGCTAAACAATAATTATTAAATAGTCTAACAGCATTAAAAGGTACCTAGGAAACATTTATCTCTTTAATAAAATACTTAATATTTTGGTTCTTTTTGTTAGTGTGCTTCATGTAGCTTTTGTAGTTGGTACAAACATCAAGAATAAAAATCCCAAATATTAAGAGAAATGATTGAGATTACTAATGTGGGTCACTGAGCAAATAAAGATTATTAGGTAAAAAAAAATTTAATGTAAAAAGTCTCTTAAAAGCTTAAATTCAGGCCAAGAGCAGTGGCTCATGCCTTTAATCCCAGCACCTGGGGAGACTGAGACAGGAGAATTGCTTGAAATTGGGAGAAGGAGGTCAGACTCTGTCTCAAAATAAATAAGTAAATAAATAAAATAAGATAAAATAAAAGTTAAATTCAGCCTTTTGAAGACACATAAGTGCTGCATTTCTATTGAAAGGTAAGAATATATAAAGTTGCTTTCAGCACTGAAAAACACTGGCAAACTTCCAAAACATTATTTTTAAAAAATTAAGCATGTGTTCATTGTTGTTCCTGATAATATTTCTTTAATTTATTTGTTTCTTGCTTGCCTCCCAGATAGAGATCTCTCTAGCTAACTTTACTGGATCTATCAGAAGAAGAGGAGTGAAGGAAAGATACCCAGCCACACAAAAGCACTTCATGATGGCAGCAGCGTGATTGCCTGGAAGTTCCTATATAAACAAGGAGCATTTGAAGGCATCTGGGATGGTTTACTAGTTTCACAGAATTTTATTCTTCTTGGTTTCTCTTGAGAGGGAAAATAACATAAATTCAAAAGGATTCCAATCTGAAGCCCAAATTATTGGCCTACATAACAAAAATATCTTTTCCTGCACATTATTATTCTCTTATGGGTTAAAAGGAAAAAAACTTTTAGTGTCTTAGAATTTTTTCATGATAAAAAGTGCAAGAATTTAAGATGCTCCTTTTATACTCCTATAATTCTCCCTAAGTATTAACTTTGTATATGTTTCAGTAATTTTCTAAAAACTGCTCAATCTGAAATTAATTTCGTTGACCATTTGGCTATGTACAATAAGGAGAAAATGATTGATTCATTGATTATATAGAGAGAAAGACTAATAAAAGCCATTAATTGCTACCAATTTTATGATAGGCTTTAATGTTAATGAAAGTATAAGTCTTTGATTTAATGAGTAATGTTGTTCATTTGAAGTTAAAAGAAAGCATAAAGTCCTAATTGCAGTTCATTTTATGTTAAAATGAAACCATTTTTTGTTTTTTATTTTGTCTGAGACAGTTTCACTCTGTTGCCCAGACTAGAGTGAAGCGACACACTCTTGGCTCACTGTAACCTCCACCTCCTGAGTTCAAGAGATTCTCATGTATTAGCCTTCCAAATACAGGCTGAAATTGCAAGTGTGCGCCACCACACCTGGCTAATTTTTGTATTTTTTGTAGAGATGGGGTTTCACCCTGTTGCCCAGGCTGGTCTTGAACTCATGTCAGAACCATTCATTTTTGAACCTTTCTCATCATTTAATTATAAGAAGCCAACGTTTGATTTTCTTTGAAGTTTTGCTGTATCCTTTATTAATTTGTATAGATAATTCCTTTAACAGGCTTACTTAAAGTTGACATCTAAAATACAGTTATGCCAGTGAAGTCCAATTCAGGGTGATATCTGTATCTAAAAGATGAGAGCTCATCATCCAGTAGTCTTTGTCTTGGTGCTGTTCATCCTGAGATGCTGAGTTGTGGAAATTTAAATCAGAAGGAATTTAGGGATGTAATTACTCAAAAAGGAAACTGTCCTGTCTAAATTTAATTTTTGTTGATCATTAGGTATTTCCAGATGTAAAGCAAGCTCTCTTAATTTGTATTTATTAAAGGATTTTTTTTTTTTTTTTAAGGAACGATCTGGCTCTATCGCCCAGGCTACAGTGTAGCGGCACATTCTAGTCTCAGTGTAACTTTCACCTCCCTGGCTCAACTGATCCTTCCACCTCAGCCTTCCGAGTACCTGAGGCTACAGTCACTCACAACCACACCTGGCTAATTTTTGTATTTTTTTGTAGAGATGGGGTTTTGCCATGTTGACCAGTCTGGTCTCAAACTCACGCTGATGAGCTCAAGTGATCTGCCTCCGTGGTCCCCCAAAATGTTAGAATTACAGGCATGTGCCACTATGCTGTTTCACAAGTTCATCCCTTGAGTAGAAGTTTTACTTTGTAAACATCACAGAGTAGAAGAAACCATAAACCATTAACCCTTATTTTTCTAAAATAAAAGGTTGGGGTTACTATATATGTAATTTTAAATGGAAAATCTGACAACACTGTGGAGTTTGTCTCCCTTTCAAAGCTTATTAAAAGCATCTTTGTGGATGAATGGTACTTTCCACAAGTGCATTTGACTAGAAACATAGACTATTCTCAGTTATATTTATATTTAAAACATGTGCTTGCTTGTATATTTTGCACTAAAAAAGATACAGTCAAGATACATCTTGTTCAATAGAAGTCTAAACTCTTTCAAGTGCAAATTTGCACATTCACGTAAAAGTTACAGATCAGTTTTACCATTGTAAAGTAATAAAATGGTTACACATTTCTTAATTGTGCAATAAAGCACTCAGTGATTTGAATGTCTAGTTGTCCTTACTTTGTATAAGAAATGTTCGGTGTTGAGTATAGCATGGTAGAAATGTTCCTGATACCAGTCTCTGTTTCCAGTGTTTATTGCTATTAATTGAGGCATTTAAGACCGAACAGCCTTGATACATCCCTTACCACTGCAGATATTTGACATAATTCAACATTATCATGACAAGGCCAAAGATTCTCCCAAAGTCTACCAAACTCAATAACCAGCACACATACACTTGTTGACATATCAGAACAGATCCTTGACATAGAGCTATCTTTATTCACTGAGAGGTGAATGAGACCAGAAGGGGACCAAATCTGTGTTCTTTAAATATTTTGAGTCGGTATTTTAAAAATTATTTTCCTCCTCCTCCTTTTCTTCTTTTTTTTTTGAGACGGTGTCTCACTATGTCACCCAGGCTGGAGCGCAGTGGCATGCTTCCAGCTCACTGCAGCCTCCACCTCCCAGGTTCATGAGATTCTGGTGCCTCAACTTCCTCAGTAGCTGGGATTACAAGTGCCTGCCACCACGCCCAGCTAACTTTAGTATTTTAGTAGAGACTGGGTTTCACCACGTTGGCCACACTGATCTCAAATTCCTCAGGTGATCTGCCTGCCCCGGCCTTCCAAAATGCGAGGATTACCGGGGTGAGAAACAGCACTCAGCTTAATTATTTTTCTATTAAAAAAGTTATTTGTAATTTTCAACATTTTCAGAACGCAAGGGAAGATACTTTTTACATAGCTTCGTCATGATAGTTAAGGGGATCAGTAGTAATGGTGCCACCCCAATTTGGATCCCAGAGGTGAGTCAGTGAGAAGACCAGATGAAGGGTGGTGGACCAAAGAAAATTGTAAAGGCTGGTCCCTTTCATGTTTTGACCCTTCCCTCCCCTCCCCCCCCAGCCTTTCTGTTGTTGTTGTTGTTATTGTTGAGACGCTCTATCTCCAGGCTGGAGTGATATGGCGTGATCCTGGCTCAATTGAATTTCGGTTTTCCGGTTTCAAGCAATTCTCCTGCCTCAGCCTCCCGTTTAGCTGGGACTCCAGGCACGCACCAGTACGCCTGGTTAACTTTTTTTTACTTTTAGTAGAGATGGGGTTTCACCATGTTGACCAGGCTGGTCTCAATCAATTCCCCTCGTGATATGCTTGTTTCTTGCTGGGATTACAGACATGAGCCAACGCCCAGCCATTTTGCTTTTCTTACAGCTTTCTTTGAAGAATAGAAATTATTGTTTGCTGTGCATTTGATCAGAAGGAAAAGGAAGTGAAGTCAGTGAGGTCTTTGGTCTCATCCTGAATCATTTTTTCCCTCTTTCTCAGGGACAGGACGAGAACAAGTGAGCACAAAACTGAAGAGTGTGCAAAAAATCTCAGCAACCAAGATAACATTTTAGCTCCATTTTTGAAAACAATAAAAATTAACACCCATGAAAAATACATGATAAAAAATATCAAAATTTTAAAGACAGGATGTCAGTAGTGAGTGTGGTGGCTCACAACCAGTAATCCCAGCACTTTGGTAATCTAAGGCAAAAGGATTGCTTGAAGCCAATAATTGGAGCTCAGCCTCTGCAACACAGCAAGTCTTCATCTCTAAATCAAAAACATTATCCCGGCATGGTGGTGCATCTCTGTAGCCTAAGCTACTGGGGAGGCTGAAGTGGGAGAATCACTGGAGCCTAGGAGTTGAAGGCTGCAGTCAGTTACTGCATTCTAGCCTGGGCAACAGAAAGACCCTGTTGAAAGGAAGAGAGAGGGTCGGGCACTGCAGCTCATGCCTGGAATCCTAGCACTTTAGGAGGCCGAGGTGGATAGATTATTTGAAGTTGAGAGTTCAAGACCATCCTGGCCAATGTGGTGAAACCCCATTTCTACTAAAAATACAAAAATTAGCCAGGCGTAGTGGCCCATACTTGCAGTTCAGCTACTCGGGAGGCTGAGGCAGGAGAACCTCTTGAACCCAGGAGGATGAGGTTATAGTGAGCCAAGATTGTACCACTGCACTCTGACCTGGGCAACAGAGCAAGATTGTCTCAGAAAAAAAAAAAAAAAAAAAAAAAGAAAGAGAAAGGCAAGGCAGGGCAGGCAAAGCAAGGCAGCAGGAAGAAAAAAAGAAAATTAGTTAAACTATGTTAAGAGTCTTTGGCAAAAGAAAAAGTCAATAATTCAAATTCTATCAGTAACAAGAATTTTGTCTATTGGGGCCTGAGCTTCAGCCCTCTGTTTGCCCCCTTTATTCTCACTTCCCAAAATGACCTCACTCCCCAAACTCCATGTCTTTAGCCCATTTTCTATTCTTGGCTTCCACTTGCCAAAGTGTTCATGGAAAGAATAGAAGATTCTAGCCCTGGCTTCTTCAATACCTAAGCTCTCAATTCACCATAAATCATATTCTTGGACTTCAAGGAATAAGACAGGTCAAGTGAGGTTGATGATTTAAGGCTCTGGCCCCTGTCAACTGCCCTGCAGAAAAGTACTATTAACCCCATCTGGAAGTTGGCCATCCAACTGTGCACTAAGAATTCACAAGGAATATCCACACCATCTCCTGATTCTGAACACTTTTGAAATTACTACAACACTCGCTATTTTTGTAAGTGTCCTCTCAATACCTCATGTCAACTTGGTTACCTGGTACTTGCCATGTAAGTGACTTTATAATAGTCTTCAGGCTGCATGCAGTGGCTCATGCCTGTAATCCAGCACTTTGGGAGGCTAAGACAGAAAGATCATTGAGTCCAGGAGTTTGAGACAAGCTTGGGCAACACAGCAAGACCTTATCTCTACAAAAACATTGAAAAAATTAGCCAGGTGTGGTGACATGCACCTGTGGTCCCAAGCTACTGGGAGTTCAAGGCTGCAGTGAGCCATAATTGTGCCACTGCACTCCAGCCTGGGAGACAGAGCAACACCCTGTCTCAGAAAAAAAAATGTCTTCAAAAAATGAGAATAGAATATTGTGGGTCATGCTGATGTGGGAGTGACTAAGCATGGGAGGGACATGAGAGGCGGTGGTGCCATCCTGAGAGTGGAAAAGGTGAGGTCCTCATGTTGACGTGGTCCAGTGGGCCCCGGGCACAGGCACAGCTTCTATTGGGGTTCTTAGAACTCGTAGTGAGCATAGAGGACCCTATACCCTGGGGTGGGTGAATGAATGATGTGCCTCTTGGCCATGGGGCATCTCAGCAGGCCTTGGGCTGCCTTGAGAAGGGGCTTGTGGGGCAGGGCTATATTGGCAGACATTTTGGGAAGGTTGGAAATTTTGACCTCTGGCCACTCTGTTGGAAAAATGTTTCTGTTTCCACACCCCAGGAGTAAGTAGAAGCCTTGTTGAATCCAGTTCAGAGAGGCTTTATGGCCAGTAAGGAGCCCTAAAAGCTGCTATTGGGCTTGGGGAGTGGAATTAAGGATGAGTGAACTTCCTGGGATAAAAGAGGAGGTCTTGTCAAGGCTGGGGATGGCACTCCCCAGGAAAAGGGAAGGGG